GAGATGCTTGCAACGCGATCTAACTGCGTGTAAACTAACCGCGTGTAATGAAACGTTTAGAGAACATATGGGACAGCTTCCAAGAGGAGGGGCAGCTGATCTCCTACGGAAGAGACCCGAAGGACATCGACGTAATGGCCACGTCCACGTTCAATCAGATCCAGGTCGATCTCACCACTACCTTCACCATTCTCATCGGTATCTTCTTCCCCTCGGTCACAGGCAAGTGTCGTGCATGCTTTATTCTTCTTTGTTATTCTGCTTTCCGCTGAAATCTCTCCGCTGTTGAAAACCTGAAAACCTGAAAACCTGAAAACCTGAACACAACTGCTGTTGTGCTGCGCAGGAATCATGGCTGGCTCGAACAGATCGGGCGACCTGGCCGATGCCCAAAAGTCAATTCCCATCGGCACGATCTGCGCCATTTTGACAACCTCGACGGTGTATCTGTCGAGCGTGTTGCTGTTCGCCGGCACGGTGGACAATCTTCTGCTGCGAGACAAGTTCGGCCAGAGTATCGGTGGCAAGCTGGTGGTGGCGAACATGGCCTGGCCGAATCAATGGGTCATCTTGATCGGCTCGTTCCTGTCGACCCTAGGCGCTGGACTGCAATCGCTGACGGGGGCTCCGCGATTGCTTCAAGCGATCGCCAAGGACAGCATCATCCCGTTCCTGACACCGTTCGCCACCAGCTCGAGCCGCGGCGAGCCGACCAGGGCGCTGGTCTTGACAGTCCTCATCTGCCAGTGCGGCATCCTCCTCGGCAACGTCGACTACCTGGCACCCCTGTTGTCCATGTTCTTCCTCATGTGCTACGGCTTCGTGAACCTCGCCTGCGCCCTGCAAACACTCCTCCGAACACCCAACTGGCGGCCCAGGTTCAAGTACTACCACTGGAGCCTGTCCTTCATCGGGCTGTCCCTCTGCATCGCCATCATGTTCATGACCAGCTGGTACTACGCGCTACTGGCGATGGGGATGGCCGGCTGCATCTACAAGTACATCGAGTATCGCGGCGCCGAGAAGGAATGGGGCGACGGGATTCGCGGTCTGGCACTCTCCGCCGCTCGCTACTCGCTGTTGAGACTGGAGGAAGGGCCGCCTCACACGAAGAACTGGCGGCCGCAGATTCTCATCTTGGCCAAGCTGACGGACGACCTGGTGCCCAAGTATCGGAAATTGTTCGCGTTCGCCAGCCAGCTGAAGGCTGGCAAAGGCCTCACCATCTGCGTCAGCTGCATCGCCGGCGATTACATACAAAACACCGGCAAGACGCTCGCCGCGAAGGTGAATCTGCGCAAAACGTTCGCCGAGGAGAAGGTGAAAGGATTCGTGGACGTACTGGTCGCCAGGGACGCGGTGGACGGCCTCAGTTCGTTGATCCAGACGACCGGCCTCGGTGGAATGAAGCCGAACACGGTGATCCTCGGATGGCCCTATCGCTGGAAACAGTCGCAGGAAGAGAGAAACTGGCGGGGATTTTTGCAGACAGTGAGGGCAGTGGCGGCAGCCAGGATGGCCCTTTTGGTCCCCAAAGGGATCAACTTCTTCCCCGACTCGACGGAGAAAGTCGTCGGGAACATCGACGTCTGGTGGATCGTTCACGACGGCGGCCTTCTCATGCTGTTGCCCTTCCTCCTCAAGCAACATCGCACGTGGAAAAATTGCAAAATGAGGATCTTCACCGTCGCGCAGATGGAGGACAATTCCATCCAGATGAAGAAGGATTTGAAAAAGTTCCTCTACGACCTGAGGATCGAAGCCGAGGTGGAGATTGTCGAGATGGTGAGTCGTCTTTGCTCGATTATATATACATACATGCATACATACATACATACATACATACATACATACATATAGATATAATCACCAACTGGCGTTACACGCGATCGATGGGGATAAGTTGTTCACGAGTCCATCGTTCGTTCGTCCATCCGGGCAATAACCTAAACCAGCCATTTAAACAGGCTGCACACACTACACACGTACCGTATCGTAGCACTTTCAAATTCCGTAGATGGATTCCGACATATCCGCGTACACGTACGAAAGAACGCTGATGATGGAGCAGAGGAACCAGATGCTGAGGGAGCTGCGGCTCAACAAGAAGGAGTCCCTAGGAGTGGTAAGTGAACGATGACGAGCTCGACCGTCGGATTACCGGTCAATGTAAATAATAAAAAAGAAAAAACAGAGAGAAAGAGAAAGAAAATGAAAGAAAGTAACGAGAAACATGTTACGTATGTACATGTGCAGTGTAAGATTCGCTTACGTCTACTTACTTGCGCGTATATATACATACATATATATATATATATGTATATATATATATATATATATATATACACACACACACACAGCTGTATATATCTATATATACACCTATTTACGTATTTACATATTATATATTTTAATATTTACTACATAGAAATAAGAACTGTGCTGTCGCTACGATTACTGATCGGTATGTGTCTGTTTGTTGCGTGCTCGTCACGGATAAGGTGCAGACATTGGTGGACTTCAACGAGGTACCCGCTGAAGAAAATTTACCTCTGGTTTGTCAGAAAATCCCCAGAGTCATCTTCCTCCGTCTGTTTATCATCCCCTCTGCCTTTGTGTCTACTTTGACCGTACACACACGTACACACACGCACGAATCCACCCATCTCGTGAAAAAGAGAAAAAAAAGAAAAGAAATCATTTTTTCATTGATTTCGTTCGCATTGACAGTACA